GCTGGTCCCGCGCTCAGCGTCTCATACTTATCAGGATGCACCGACTCTGACCGCTCCCCGAGTTTCTTTCCCAATAGTTGTTCGAGCCCTTCACGTTGAGACCTTCTCGATGACAAATGCGTGTCATCTGCGAGCATGATCTCAACACGTTTGACCAACGGCTTCTCCTCCAAAACATTGTCGCGGACAGGCCCAGGGCGACGTATTCCCATGCCTATGTCGAACTCCCTTTGTGACAAGTCCACACATCCAATACCCTCGCACCCTTTCTCCTGGGCCTGGTTTTTGAAATCATACATGGTCGAAGCGTGAAATAGATTGACAGCTACTGGCGCCGATGGGCACCCTTCCTTGAAGGCTCTTTGAAAAAATATCCCGGCACCGCAACCGAACAGCGATGTGTATAAGCATATTTGGAAGCATTCCCCTTAAGATGCAGGTGAGAATCCAGTTGTAGAATTATGTTGTTCTCGCAGTCGCAGTCGCATTCGCAATGACAGTCGCAGTCGCAACGGCCTTAGGATCCAATGGAATCCTAAGGATTCCTATGGATTCCTAAGGCAAGGGATTCCTAAGGCAGCCTTAGGCATCCTTAGGAATCCATAGGAATCCTAGGGAGTCCTAAGGATTCCGAAGGATTCGCCTGCCTCGGCCTCAGCCTCAGCCTGCCTCAGCCTCAGCCTCAGCATCAGCCTGTCTCAGCCTCAGCCTGCCGCAGCATCAGCTTCAGCATCAGCCTCAGCCTGCCTCGGCTTGCCTCGGCCTCAGCCTCAGCCTGCCTCGGCCTCAGCCTGCCTCAGCCTCAGCCTCAGCCTGCCTCAGCCTCAGCCTGCATCAGCCTCAGCATCAGCCTGCCTCAGCCGCAGCTTGCTTCAGCCTCAGCCACAGCCTCAGCCTCAGCCTGCCTCAACTTCTGCCTCAGCCTCAGCCTGCCTCGGCTTGCCCCAGCCCTTAGCCTCAGCCTGCCTCGGCCTCAGCCTCAGCCTCAGCCTCAGCCTGCCTCAGCGTCAGCCTCTCAGCCTCAGCCTCAGCCTCAGCCTCAGCCTCAGCCTGCAGCCTCAGCCTGCCTCAGCCTCAGCCTGCAGCCTCAGCCTCAGCCTCAGCCCCAGCCTCAGAGCCTCAGCCTGCCGGCTTGCCTCAGCCTCAGCCTCAGCCTGCCTCGGCCTCAGCCTCAGCCTCAGCCTGCCTCAGCCTCAGCGTCAGCCTCTCAGCCTCAGCCTGCCTCAGCCTCAGTCTCCGCCTGCCTCAGCCTCAGCCTCAGCCTCAGCCTCAGCCTCAGCCTCAGCCTCAGCCTCAGCCTCAGCCTGCCTCAGCCTCAGCCTGCCTCAGCCTCCTGAGCCTGCCTCGGCCTCAGCGTCAGCCTGCCTCAGCCGCAGCCTCAACCTCAGCCTGCCTCGGCTTGCCTCGACCTCAGCCTGAGCCTGCCTCGGCCTTAGCCTCAGCCTCAGCCTGCCTCAGCCTCAGCCTCAGCCTCAGCCTGCCTCAGCCTCAGCCTGGATCAGCCTCAGCCTCAGCCTGCCTCAGCCACAGCTTTCCCCAGCCTCAGCCACAGCCTCAGCCTCAGCCTCAGCCTGCCTCAGCTTCAGCCTCAGCCTCAGCCTGCCTCGGCTTGCCTCAGCTTCAGCCTCAGCCTGCCTCGGCCTCAGCCTGAGCCTCAGCCTGCCTCAGCCTCAGCGTCAGCATCTCAGCCTCAGCCTGCATCAGCCTCAGCCTCAGCCGCAGCCTGCCTCAGCCTCAGTCTCAGCCTGCCTCAGCCTCAGCCTGCCTCGGCCTCAGCCTCAGCCTGCCTCGGCCTCAGCCTGCGTCAGCCTCAGCCTCAGCTTGCCTCAGCCTCAGCCTGCCTCAGCCTCAGCCTCAGTCTGCCTCGGCGTGCCTCAGCCTCAGCCTCAGCCTGCCTCGGCCTCGGCCTGCCTCAGCCTCAGCCTGCCTCAGCTCGGGCATTCAAACTATGGCACAGGACTGGTGTTCTGGGAACACGAAGATCACGAAGTGGCCCACAGCTGGCTCCGGGCAATCAAAATATGGTACAGGAATGGTGTTCCGGGAACACGAAGAACACGAAGTGGCTTACAGTTGGCTCTGGGCATTCAAAATGCGGCCTGGGAGTTGTGTTTTGGGAACACGAAGAACACGAAGTGGCCTACGGTTGGCTCCGGGCATTCAAAATGTGGCCTGGGAATTGTGTTCTGGGAAGACGAAGAGCACGAAATGGCCTACTGCTGGCTCCGGGCATGAAAATGTGGCTTGGGAATGGTGTTCTGGGAGCACAAAGAACACGAATTGGCCTACAGCTGGCTCTGGGCATTCAAAATGTGGCCTGGGAATGGTGCTCTGGGAACCCAAAGAACACGAAGTGGCCTACAGTTGGCTCCGGGCATTCAAAATGTGGCCTGGGAATGGTGTTCTGGGAATGGATTCCTAAGAATGCCTAAGGATTCCTACGGGTTCCTGGGGCTGCACTTTTGTCCGGATCTGTCCGGATCCCGCCCAGACCCCCTTG